GATATAAAACCTCTGAGAAACTTTGAGATTAAGTTCGACCCCAAGTCACGATGGGAGGAAACAACAGCTGGGAAGTGAAAGAGACAATACCATATATGGACAGAAGGAATCTCTGGGGATATAACAGTTTTCACATGCAGGACAGAATAAAGATAATAGTTTGAGTTCCTCATTTGAAGCTTTATAAATTTATATATTGTAACATCAGGAATGGAAATCATTAATTATGTAGCTGTTGACTAAGGGATTATTATTATAACTGAAATGTAACTGAAATTAATTAAGCTTATGGAATGCAGTAATGTAAGATTAGAAATGCACTCAAACCATCATGTGGGGAGTCATTTTAACTAAAATTATACAATTATACAATTATCAAATTTGGGAATTAATTACTGTTATATTTTGGCTATTATTGGGGGTATGTTGGAAAACTAATGATTTTTTTAATAATAAAAATACAAACGAAAGCATCAAAATCCAGTTGTCATTTGTTCAATTACTCTCCCTAGCAGTGTGCTATTCTTTTGAAATCAAACTGATTTTTTTTTTCATTAAAAGAACATGGATGGATGAAGATGATATATTTTCTGGGATTAAAATCTAAAAAATTAACAACTATTTTCAGGACTTTGAATTTTTCACCGTTTTATGAGACACACAGGTGTTGAGAGCAGATTTTTGTTTGACTTTATTAGATTCTTCTGTCTGATCTCCCAACAGTTGTGCCATCTGTTCACTCTGAAAATGAGAGATGACTCTGGTCTTGACTTGTTAATTGGAGATACAAAGCCCTTTAGGAACAGTAGAAGTTTTAGGTTTGCTATTTCTTGTTATCTACTTCAATCTGAGTTTCATTGAACTATTCTACAAGAACACAGGAAACCATTTTATATTAAATAAAAGAGAGATTAGACTCTCTGGGCAAGTTCTGCACTCCAAAGCTGATCTTGATTGTAAACTCAATTAATTATCTGGGAATGACAGTCAGTTCTACTTTATTTCCTGTAATATTAACTATAGGCTTTCACAGATACTATATGCTTCAGCCTCAAATCCAGCCTGAGCGAAATACGATTACTCAAAAGACCCACTATGTTCAGCAGAGCTTATTCCCGAGTAAGCATGCATAGGATTGCAGCTCAAGTTGGCTCTGCACAAAGCATTGTGGACTTTGGGCCAACTAATGTTATAGCTTGGTCTGCATCTTGAATGGACATAGGGCGCCCCATTCAAAGCCAAATTTAAAAATATATAATACGTAGGAGAGCACAAGAAGTAAGGTAGGCAGATATGGGTCCACAGCATTGTGGGGGACACTTCAATATTTAGGAGTACTCTTTCCATCCCTCATTGCTGCCAACTGCTGGAGGGGGTAGAAAGTTACACAATGTAATAAAAACACTACCTGATGTTAAGTGATCCTACCTCAACAGGGAGGAGCTGTTTTGAGCACATTCCTATATTATGACTAAAAGGAAATTCCACTATAACTCTGTATACTCCATACACTATAACTCCATATAAATAAAGAACTCTAAACACAGATCAAATGCACACTGTCCTCTCATAAACAGATTCCTTGATTAAAAATGCAACAAAATAAGGGAACTGACAGAAAAAGCCATATTTAACAGTACTTGGCTAAATATGAAACACACTCTACCAATTGCTCACCTTTGCATTTCTCGAGTGCAAAGCATGGTTAAGACTATTTTCTGCTCTGTGAGTCCTACAAGCCTCTTATACAAAGGCATAATTAACCTTTTGAAATTAGATGTCTTCAGTACAGTGGTACCTTGGTTTAAGAACAGTCCGGTTTAAGAACGATTTGGTTTACAAACTCCGCAAAACTGGAAATAGTGTCTTGGTTGAGAACTTTACCTCGGTCTATGAATGGAAGCCTAATAGTGGAAGGGTACCGGCAGCGGGAGGCCTCATTAGGAAAAGCACGCCTCGAATTAAGAACGGTTTTGGTTTTGGTTCAGGAACAGATTAAGTCCGTAAACTGAGGTACCACTGTACTATTATTCCAGATACAGCCTGTCCTACAGAGGGAGAGATCTATACTGATTTTTTAACATTTACACTGTGGTATTCCTTGTCAGTGTGATGTATCAACTTTTCGTGTAATAAAGAATCCTTGCTTGGCTTCTTGTTCCAAAATGCATGCATGTTAATGTTAATGAAACATCCAGGTACAAATTATGTCTTAATGCAGTGTTAACATTTTGCATTGCCTGCTTCCAATAGTTTTTAAATAGTACTTTTATATGATCATTACAAAATAGGTATTCAGAGGTGAAGACCTTTCCTTACATGCCATTATTTAAGCAGTATGATGCCTTTTACAGAAAGCTAAACTCTCTGAACTGACTCCCTCAATACAGGTAGGTAGCCGTGTTGGTCTGCCATAGTCAAAATAAAAAAAATCCTTCCAGTAGCACCTTAAAGACCAACTAAGTTAGTTCTTGGTATGAGCTTTCGTGTGCATGGTATCTGAAGAAATGTGCATGCACACGAAAGCTCATACCAAGAACTAACTTAGTTGGTCTTTAAGGTGCTACTGGAAGGAATTTTTTTATTTTCCCTCAATACAGGCATTAGAAGTCTTTCTCTACCTAGGTTTAGGATTTTAAAACTAATTTTAAACCCAGTACAAGAATTTCATTGGTTGAAATCCTAATCTTGGTTGCTGATTGGAATAATTGCTCTTCAAAAAGGTTCTCTGACATTTGTTTCTTGGAACTTTTGCCAATAAAGTAAAAATCTGATGCTACTCTAGGTATCCTAAAGGTTTATTTGGGATGTGGAGAAGGGACTCTCCATGACAAAATAAGGGGGCGGGGGTTACAGCTAAGTGGGTGTGACAGGCACAGCAACCATGAGAGAGAAGATAGATGACAACTCAGGACAGGAAGGAGCCAACCCTGATTTCCCTTCTGTTGCCAGCTGGCCCTGCCCCAGCTTCCCTCAACCTTCTCCTGGGGCTCTTCCTTCCTTCCCCATCCTACTTACAGCTGCCTCTTCCACTCAACCACCATGTCCATTTGGACATCAGAGGCAGTCTGTAGCTAATGGCAACTACTGGGGAGGCATCAGCACAAGCCCCCTAGGCCTGAAAATTGTGGGGGCACCTCAGCAGTGATTTTTCATTTTAAAATATACAGCCCACCCTTCATACAGGGGCGGGGTCACACCATAAACTTTGGTATTTGACCTTCCATTATCTGTGCAGGAAAAGACAGAACAGACAATACACATGGCTGTATTCGGGGAGCGGGATTTAGAAATATAAACTGGCTTGCACAAGTTCTCTTCATTGCTTTCACCGGAGTTGGGGTGGTATTCCAGCTCGGACATCCATGGAAGCAAAAAACAGACCATAAAGAGGATGGGTACCATCTGATCGCGTTACCCAGGACTTCCACCAGCTTCTGCCTGGCAACTTCATCCACTAACTTCCCAGGGTTTCATCTATTCATGAATATCCACCAGTTTCCTTTCACACATCATATTCACACATGTACACTCTTTGCTTTCACCACATTCAAACCCTTCCACTCACAACACAAGCATATGCCAGCCAACCTCCATGAAGAACATCATTCATTTATCTTTCACTGTACCTTCATTCACATTCTTGTCCCGGCTGCAGCTCAGATTTCCACCGACTTCTGTTGACTGGCTTCCGAAGGTGAATTTCAACCAATATGCATCCACAAATATCAGCCTGCTTCAGCTTTACATCTACCAGCTTCCAAATGTGAACTCCACCCACCACCTTCCACCACCACCATCTGCCATAGATTTCAGCCGCCTTCTGTAATGGAAAAGTTTGTTTTGCTGGGCAGGTTGGGTCCCCAAGTGTTTTCTTTTTCTTTTTCCCTGCCAGAAAACGGTTATTGAATGGCAGCGGCTGATTGGCCGGGGTTCCAGGAGAGGGAGTTGAAAAGGAAATGTTTTTGAGACTCAGTTCGTAGATTGGGATAGAGCAGAAACAGGCAAACTCCAGCCCATCATCCCTAGCTAACAGGACCAGTGGTCAGGGATGATGGGAATTGTAGTCCCAAACATCTGGAGGGCTGGAGTTTGCCTATGCCTGGGATAGAGGCTGGGAGAATAGGTTGGAAGATAGGGAGTGAGAGGAGAGTTGGTTCTGGGTAGAAACATCCACTCTGAGGAATATATCAAAAGCTAGAGAAAGGAGACTTGTGAGTTTAGTATGAAGGACAGTGTGTGGTGTCCTGGAAGAGTAATTAGGCCAGGAATTAACTGGGAGGCTGAGGCTGAGCCAGAAGAAGTAAAACAAAACAAAATAAATAAAATAAAATAATTCCTTCCAGTAGCACCTTAGAGACCAACTAAGTTATTGGTATGAGTTTTCATGTTATTTTATTTATTTTGTTTCGACTATGGCAGACCAACACGGCTACCTACCTGTAACCAGAAGTAGAAGCTGTGAGAATACAGTCTACTTAGGACTCATTCCAGTCAGGAGGGGAGAGATTCTTCTACAAAAATAGAAGACTCCCAAGGGATGTGGTGATCCCTTGGGTCTGTTACTTGGAGTACCTCAGGAGTAGGGTTGTCTAAGGGGTGTGCAACTGACAGGAAGAACCAAGGTATTAAGCAGCAACAGCTGTGCAACAACAGAGAAAGAACTGAAGTGAAATAACATAACATACTCTGAAGTATCTTATGTTTTAACTACTTTGTGTCATAAACTTCCTTTTTAATAAAATCATTCCTGTTTATTTGATCAAATCCTGCCTGAGACTCCAAATTATTAAATTTGTCCTCAACCAAGTCCCCCACAGGATAATCTGGGGTAGTTTGTAGGAATTTGTGGAATTGGTGTTCTGTGAGGTGGGTGCACTATATTTAAGTGAGGGCAGGGCCAATGGCACCAAGGGGAAAATTGTTGTTGTGCCGTCGCACCTTCAAGCCACAATCCTGCTCAGCAAGTGAACTTGCCTTATTATCACTCCATAGCATACCATAGCCAGATGATCGCGTCTGTCCAATTGTCAATTTGTTTCCTCCCAAGTGCAGGAAGACTGGGCAATGCTGAATGTCAGTTGTTTCCTGCTGCGTTCTGTTGAAGAAAGATAGAAAGGCCCACCTTTATATCCACTCAGCTGCCATGCAGGGACGCGGACTTATAAAAAATATTGGGGGGGGCCCGGGAAAGCTCATGAATAATAAATAAGCTCATGAATATGCAAATAAAGTGGCGCCGCCTCCTCGTGAGCGAATAGGGGAGAGCGTGCTGCGCCTATTAATCAGCTCCAAAGGAAATTGGGTGGAGCTTTTGCTCGGGAGGGAGGGCAGGAGGCATGCAGCCCGCCCCTCCCTGTGCATTTTGGGCTGGGGGAGGGGCGGCGATGGCGCTCTGCTGGAGGGGCGCCGGAGATTATTGGGGGGGCGGAGCCCCCCCAAACGAATTTTTGAGGGGGCTCGGGCCCCCTCAAGCCCCATGGAGTCGGCGCCTATGCTGCCATGTACTTTTCTGATGTCACAGGCAGTCTGTAGCCATGGCAGCAACTGGGGATGCATCATTATAATCTCCTCGGGCCTCACAATTATGGGTGCACCTCAGCATGGTTTACTTGTGTGCTTGTTTATTGTTAAATTGTTGGTAAAAATATTATAGGCCAACCTTCATTTGTGGAGATGCACACCATAAAAATCCTGTAGCCCTATTTCACCATATTCAATTAAATGCATATCCTCCTTTTGCTTTGGCCACAGTTTATATGGTGATTGGCAATGGTGGGCAAGATATGCTTTGTGGGAAATTGTTCACTGTTGCTAATATCACTGGGGATCAATCCTCAGAAGAGGAGCTGGAATCCTCCAAACCAGCAGCATCCCAAGCCAATGGTCCAGGAAGAGCCCTTAGGAGTGGCTGCCTTCAGAGGCAGAAACAGAATGAACCCCCAAGCCCAAAAAAGTGATGTTGTCTCAAAAGGCGGGCCAGGACTCTCATGCTCAGGAGTGCCTATTTACAGAAAATAACTCTGTAAGGTCAACTACACCCCACAATGTAAAGTACCACAACATACACAAAAAATAAGTGTGGTCTGACTGACTCCACTTACTTTAAAACTTAAATATATATTGTGCCAGTAACATACATATAACAGTTACCCAAAAATAATAATGTGTTGTGAATTCCTGGAATAACAAATCTCACAGACTATAGTGCAAGCTACCTGAGCAGCCTATGCGCAATCATATTTCGTATCTGCATCACTCCACATCCTATAGATGTGGAGATCATTTGGTCACAGGTGTCCGTACTAGTTGTAGTTTTAATATAATAAAAATGAACTCTGGCTTGGAATTCAGATTTTGAATTGTGGTCTGAGATTCCTGCATTGTTATGTGTTGAACCAAGAAGAATCACGGTCCTGCTTCTGATGGGATTTCCAATGTGGCAACCAGAGTAAAAATTTCTTACTTACTCCCTTTGCTAGTGGCACATTGCTGAAGAAGTTTGCAATTGTCGTATTCCATCCAGAACCCTGTGGTTAGTGCCTCAACCACTATCAAGCCTAGGTTTCAAGCTGCTGGGATATTTACTTCTTTCCCAATATATACAGTGAAGTGTGCCTGTCTGTCTGCCGTCTCATTATTGACTATAAGGAGGAATTTAAAAACATTCTCGTTTACCCATGCATATGATTGCTAAAACATTGTGATGACACTAAATTTGATGCCTAAAAGAAACCTTGAAAAGGAAATTGTAGAGTTAGAAAAGCTTTAAAAAGGGTCAGTCAAAATGATCAAGGGGATGGAGCAACTCCCCTATGAAGAAGGTTTCTCAACATTAGAACCTGTGGACATCCAATGAAGCTGAATGTTGGAAGATTCAGGACAGATAAAAAAAAGCTATGTAACTCACTCCCACAGAAGTCAGTGAAGGCCACCAACTTGGATGCCTTTAAAAGAGGGCAGGGAAATTCATGGAGAATAGGGCAATCCATGGCTACTAGCCATGACGGTTGTGCTCTGCCTCCACAGTTGGAGGCAGTAATACACTTGTGTTTATTTTGACATCTGAACTAGGTTGATGTTGTAGTTGACATCCATCTGTCTAGGGAGACAATGGAAGAGTATGCCTTCAGGGGTCAACCCGTTTCAATATTTATTGTACTTATTTATTGATTATACTTAGTGCTGCTTATATAAGAAGGAAAAGCAGAAACAGTTAAATAGTTGCTGGGAAGGAAGAAATAATTGCTAGGAAGGCATGCCAAATAGACACACATACCTTCCTTAGGAAACTCAAAGCAACTTCCAATGATTTCCTGTGCTTAGGTTCAACAGTCATACAAAAACCATGTACTCTCAGACCATTCATTAGATTATACATACAAGTGGCTGAAGCATGAAGTTGCCAAGGGCATATATAATATTTTCAGTTCTATACATAAGTGGTTTAACTGATACTCCTTGAAAATGAGATGCCTTTTGTTTCAATTTCTTGAAGACCAACTCAGAACTCACTCTACAAAACAAACCTATTAGAAGCCCTTTTGTTTTTTTTAAGTGGCATATGGCACCAATTGGCATTGATAAATGAAAGCACATAACAATAAAATGCTCTGTGCTAAATGCTAGTAAAAATGACAAGCTAAAATATTATCAACATAAAAAGGAGTAGGTGCTATATTACTATCCAAAATAATATATCGCACATTGTATACTTAAGGATTTCATTTTACTTTCCTGTAATTATTTGTATATATCTGATAATATCAGTCCATGACATCTTTTGGGGAATATAATTAATAGCAAGCTGGATGAGAATGTTTTTTAAAAATTGTGCTGTGATTATTTTTAAGCAATTTCTGACTTTGTTAGTTGTGTTTAACTGCCACCTAGTGTTAAAATTAACAAATGTCTTTTCATAAGACATTAAAGCTGTAGATAAACACTTATGTCAGTGAGGCAATTTCCAGTTTATAATATTTTGGAGGTCAATGCTCTTCAATTGTTCTCTATTTTTAAATAGAGGCCAATGCTCTATATTTTTAAAATCTAATGATTTGTTTTTAAAAAATTGCTACCACATGCCCTGTAGGACAGGGACAAGGATCCTCCTGCCTGCAGGCCTAATTAAGCCCACCAGGTATCAGATATAGGCCTATCAGGTAATTTGGGGCATACCATGCCCACCTTTCCTGCCTCTGAGGTCATATATATGTCCATCAGTTATTCACCCCTGCTTTACAGTAAAGGTCTAAAATATGTATCAGGCCACAAACATTATCAACCAAAATTCATCAGCTCTTGCCCCTGCTCTGTGTCCCTTGGGTGATGACCCAGCAACAGCCCACACCTGCACCAACTTTATGAGCCCAAACAAAGAAGGTCCTACTACCAGGTCTGATGCATAGGGCCATGCGCATTGCTTCAGCTGTTGGTCAGCTGCTGTTGTGGCCACTGCTTGGAGGCAAAGGGGGAATGATGTTTCTGGTTAGTTAATCCTTGACCTCCAAAAGAGCAGACATTCCTTTTTAGGCAAGCTTCCAGGATTTGCCAACTGTGGCTGAAGTCAGAGACAAAAGTGGGCACAGCAAAGAATATGAATTTTACCTTTGCACAGTATGCTAGTTTCTACACCCACACCCACCCACCTCAATCCTCCATTCAGGCAAGCAAGAATCAAAGTTCAAGGACACACTGCAGTGCAGCAAAAGCACTCAAGGAATGTGCAAATCTAGTGTGGGATGTGGCCTGGAGAAGAGTTTGAGAAGATAGAAAGGTCTGGAGAGCCACATACCACCTTGGTTCTCCATCCCTGCTAATGAAGTTCCTCCATTCATGAACGAACAGAATACATGTAAACTTTCATTGCAGAACATGTAACTAACTGTTAAGCCACAAATAAAAAAGGTCATGGTCTCTCAAATAGAGCACCCACCTATAGTGACAGAATTTGAGCCTATTTCCCACAATGATGCTTCCAAGAGGTTATCCACCATGGATAAAACAATGTGTAAGTCATCTTCAGATTTCCCCCCCCCCCCCATTAATCCTAACAATATTACTTTATAAGGTAGCCAGCCAAATATCAGCAGACGGTATGCCAAAGTGCTGAGTGGCATTCCTTTCATTTCTACTTGATCAATGTGTCTTTTGTTATGGCAGTAGCTTAAACTGTGCTTTAATGAGTTATTTAAAGCTTATTCGCCATTACTGCATGAAAGCACAGTCAGGAATATTCCACCGTTTTTGGCCTGGAGGCAAGAATGTCATACTGCTAAAGGAGGGAAAGACATGAGAAGTCATTTCTTATTCCCTTTTAGGAGCAATCACATCTCTGATAATGATATTATTGAAGCACCAGATCTAACTGCAGCTAGGGATTGGTAGAGCAGTTTACAAGTCAAACCAGTAAAACAGTAGCCCAAACACCTGATCTGCAACGCTAGAGGTGTCCTTCTGCACAGCTTTGTCTGACTCTGTCATTGGAGGGAAAGCTCTGCAGGCAAGCTGTAGACCAATCTGCCAGCCCAAACATTGGGCAGGTGGAAGATACCATCACCTCCCCTGTCAGAAGTAGTCATCCTCTTCACTGCACCAGCACACAGCACCAGAGTTTTCCCTCCACCCTGGCTGGCACAAGTGGCAAAGTTGTAAAAGTGAGCGGTACAAACTTTGGTCCATCAATCCCTGCCACTTGCTGACCAGAGATTTCACTTGACCCCCAAGACGTAACAATTCAGCAGGATCCTTCCTATAGGGTACTTTGAGTTGGCATGTTTATAAAGTATTTAACATGCTATATATTGTGAACAGCAGGGGGAGAAATGCCTTCCCTAATCACTTATGAGGGAGTAAATCACACTGAACACAGTGGGACCTGCTCCTGACTAGACCTGCATAAGGTTGCACTTGTTGCTTACTTATGAGGTTGGCAGTTTGTAAGCACAAACCGAAGTATGTCTACTCAGACGTAAGTCCCAATAAGCTGCTGATTCTGTTGGGCAAGAAAAGAGAGACCCAAGACTAGAGATGGAGAAGTGTAAATGGCAATTCCTAGTTGGGGGACGAGTGGAATTTATATGTAACTTATAAAAGATAATACTGAGCTATAAAGTACCATTACATACGGTAAACACGCCTTTTCGACACCTTTTTTTTTTTTTTTTGCCTTCTAAGCAAGAAACCTGACGTACTGGGTTCTCTCACCGAAGGAGAAAGAAGAAAATAGAGCCGGGGAAAGCAACCCCCTCCTCCTCCATCACCTGCCCCTCCTCCCACTCAACGGTTTCCTTCCCCAGAGCCGCTAACGACTTGCTCCGCCCCCTTTCTTCGTCCGCTTACGACAGCGACCGCCCGCAGAGTGCGGAAAAGGGCCAGTTCTGTGCACTACTTGCCTAGCCGCGCCCCTTTCACAGGAAGACAGCCAATCAAACGGTTTCAACCGTCGCCCTCTTTTACTGCTCCCCCTCCCGCGCTCGCTTTTTTTTAATGGTATCGCGATAACAGCTAGTCGAGCGGAACGGTTGTTGGGCGTCTCCTAACGGCAGCAATGGACTGAGAAGAAAAGTTAAGAGAGAGAGAGGGAGAGGAAAAGATTCGGGTCGCGATGGAGGTAGCTTCCTTTCACCTCACAGCTCTCTTAAGGCTTTTTTTTTTTACGCTTCACGCTGTGGTACGGTCTCATTGCTCACTTTGTTAGATATGACCCCTGTTTCCTTCATTTAGTGGTACTGTCCACAAGCTCCCCCCTCCAAGCTCCCATGCTTGGGTTCTTCCGCCCTGGTCCCCACTCCCTTCCTCCTCCTCCAGCCCCCCTCCCCATTCCCTCTCTGGTACTGTAGTTCATTCCTCCTGGAATGAACATTCTCTTCACCCCTCCGCTCGCATAATGGTGCATTCTCCGCACAGAGCTTGAAAGGGCGGGAGTTGAAAGGACGCAGTTCAGATTTCTGAGGCAGGGGTGGTGAAGGAACCAAAGTTCGATGGAGCAAGAATTTCAAGGAGCTCCAGGGACACGCATGCAACCAATAACTCCTGTTCTCATATCAAGGATCGTTGACCCAGTTCCCAAGGTGCATTGCCTGAGGACTGCTGTGTGCTGCGTTGCATTGCAGAGATAGCCAACGTGGTGCCCTCCAGGAGTTTTGAGACTCCCAGCTCCCATCATCCTTGGCCACTAGCTGCACTGGCCAGGGTTGATGGGAACTGGAGCGCCAAACATCTGGAAGGTACACATATATCATGTGTATGGCTTTGGTATAAATTGTGGGTGGCTCTGTGGGTTAAACCACAGAGCCTAGGACTTGCCGATCAGAAGGTCGGCGGTTCAAATCCCCGCGATGGGGTGAGCTCCCATTGCTCGGTCCCTGCTCCTGCCAACCTAGCAGTTCGAAAGCATGTCAAAGTGCAAGTAGATAAATAGGTACCGCTCCGGCGGGAAGGTAAACAGCGTTTCCGTGCGCTGCTCTGGTTCACCAGAAGCAGCTTAGTCATGCTGGCCACATGACCTGGAAGCTGTACACCGGCTCCCTCAGCCAATAAAGCGAGATGAGCACCGCAACCCTAGAGCCGGTCATGACTGGACCTAATGGTCAGGGGTCCCTTTACCTTTACCAGACACAGACATGCTTAGCGTCAGCAAGGTTGCAGCAGCAGCATCTGCTTTCATAACAGCACAAGGTTGTAAATAAGCCAAAAGGCCATGCAGTGCAAGAGGTTCAGGCTTACCATCCCTGTGCAAAGCTCAGAAGTGTTACAAGAGTAGCACAGTGACCGTTCACAACAGGGTGGTGAATACATCTTGGTAGGTTTCTTTGTCTCTGTGCGTATAAATGTTATATCCAGCTAGTTAAGTCAAACATTAATATATATCCTAAGCCTAAGTTGGAGTGAGAACTTTGCTGGTGATGTACTTTACATCTGCATTCCTCCTCTATCCTCAGTTCTTGCCCATTACAGTGGGAAAGAGAGAAGGGAGCACGAGGAGGGGCTGCGCTGGAGAAATTGCTGTTGGAATGTCTCCTTAACCAATGAAAGTGAGTGAGCTCTAAAGCCCCATTTTGACAAGACTGGGAGCAGAAAAATTAACATCCACATTTCGTGCGAGATAGGTCTCTAAACATCAGAGAAGAAAGTGGAACCTACAACAAAATGTTGCATTGTGGTGTGCTTTTATTTTCTCTCTCATACAATTCATTTCCCCTTTTCCCTCACCAAAGAAAAACAGGTCAGTCAGCATTACATACTCAGACCTCATTTTTGACTGCTTTAGGGTTTCTCCCCTCCCCCGGGAGTCCCCCCTTGTCATTCATTCATTCAGTAAACCTTTGGGTTCCCCCAAGCCTACTTATAACTTCACCTTGTGTGTAGATGGTGCTACTTTGACTATGTAAGGAAACTAAGATCACTATTAATATATTATTTATTCATTTGTTGCAATTCTGTACTGTCTTTCTGCCAAGGCATCCAATTAAAATTTAAAATATTAACGAATGGTACAAATATTCTGAATAGATATTGTGAGGCTGACTTCAGGAGCTGATGCCACCAGCTCCCTGGCCTGGATTTCCTCACTTCTGTTTTCCTTCAGGACATACAGGCCTTAAGTTGTTCCAGAGAATATGGGGCTGATGGTTGATGGAGCTGTTGATGGTTTCTTCAGCTGGTGGTTATATGCTCCATGCCAACATTCTATGTTATGATCTAGTCTCATAAACTGAGGCAGAAAGGACAAAGGATCAGAAAAAGTCTTCTGCTATATTCAGGCATGCTCTAGAATTACCTAAACTGCTCCAGGATTGAATGACTTGCACTGAAATAGTTTAAGTGCATTCAAGCATGTGCATGACATTAACATTGCCACACTCATGTACATACCCAAATGAACTCAACATGTTCAGGCATGCAGCAAAGTGATGTTGACATGCTTTCTTTGCTTCTCCAAAGTAAATACAGTTTTTTTTAAAAAAAAATCTGATAAATGACTGTGTGTTGAGTCTGCTGTTCAGAATAGAGACATCTCAGGTTAACTATGTTATGAAATAACACCATTAAATTAAGACACTTTTAAAAAAAAAATGCACAGCATATATATCTGAGGAACCATGCATTATTAACTAATAGTCACCTGGTCCACGTGTCACATTCAAGCACAGTTTAAAACAAACTATGGGTTTTGTAAAAGAGTTCCTGGGGTGCCCCTCCTCTGCTTCTGCCATGCCACAGACAAAGCAATACAGATTCTTGTTTGTCAGAATGTACATCAATATGAATGCTCTTATCTGTGCTGCATTGATTTGATAGGAAGTACATATGAATGTGCATGCCTATCTTTGTTCGGGTGCAACTAATCATATGTAAATTCCTTTTTTTAAAATGTAGTTACAGTTGGATTGGGGTGCATGTCCCAAGTGTGTTTCAGATTTTCTGCAGAACTTCCATAATATTATGTTCATATATAACAAGGAGGATATCTTGCTGTGGAGGTAACATCTGTGCTTCTCTTTTTCTTTTTGCCCACCCCCAAACCTCAAAAAGGGAATGAGGAGAGAAAGCAGCTTCTCTAAAAATGAAAGGTGCATTTTAAAAAGTCTTGTCTATACATTGTGAGTGGGATTGAAGTAAGTTGCAAAAGAGCAAAGCTTGGGTTAATGCCCAGTTTCAGATGTGTTTGTTTTTAGGGATTCATAAGAGCTACCTAAACATCCTTCCCATAAAAGCTACCACTACCTGAACAAGGAACACTTATTGATGTTCGCCTTTCAAACAAACAAGCAAAGGCTGTATGAGTGTTTCTGCCCAGGAGTTATGTCGTGGAGGAGTGCACAGTTTTCAAAAAGGAAACATTGTGGGACAATGCCTAGAATGCTGCACTTGGATCAGAAAGGCCCAGGTTCAAATTCCTCATTTACTCAAGGACAAAGCTCTATTTTCCTGTTGTGCACCTGGGAGAGAACATAGGATGTGAAACATTAAATATAATGATGTGGTTGTGAGGAGAGTTGAGCACCATATTATCATAGAAACAGAGAATAGTAGACTTGGAAGAGACCTAAGGGTCATCTAGTCCAACCCCCTGTAATGCAGGAATCTCAACCAGATCATACATGACAGATGACCATCCAACCTCTGCTTTAAAACATCAAAGGAATGAGAGTCAACCTCTTCTCATGGGGTGTCTGTTCCACAAAATTGTTAATAGTAAACTTTGTGCCCATTCCAACATCTAAAACATCTGTTCCCAGGGTGTGGTTGCAGTCGCATGCTGACAGCTTCTAGGAGCCAACAGGTGAGAGCTGAATGTAGGGTGGGGACCAGAGGTGGACAAAATACCTGAGAAGGACCTTAACGTGTCCTCCACCAGAGGAGCTAACCCTCCCCTAACACCCCATACACCCAGGCAATATTATGATCCTGAGAATGTTCATGAATCAGACTTCACTTTTTAAAAGGCAGTTATGTAGCCACTAATTCTGTGTTATATTTAGATTTATCACTGCAATTTAATAGATTTCCCTAGAAGTATCTCTCTGTATATTTAAATAAACAATTTTAGCTACTTTTTCTTCTTTGACAGAGTGGTAAAACTGAGGCATTAGTCATATGACTAAAGATGGCATCCTATTTAGCACAAGAAGTTCAACTTGCTAAAAGACATGAAGAAATGTAAGTATTTATTTCAGACAAAATCCTGCCTCTTAGGAGTTAGGAGAAAGAGAAAAAACACCAAAAAGTTTGACACGTGTGGCTAAGAATCTGAAGTAATTTCCTAGGCTTTTTTACATTTATACCAGTTTGTGATGTTATTTACCAGGCTAAGGGTAATTGGGCTTTTTTCTGTATGGAAGACTTTTGCTACTATGTAAATACTCCAGAAAAAGTAACTTGTCTCTTAGACCAATATCATTTTTCCCCAACTGAGCTTCTTGGAAGTTGTAACAATAGAAAACTAAAAAGATTGCCTCAAGGGGGTGCTGTGATGCCAGTGCTGCTCCTCTGATGAAAAATGCTAAGTGAAACCCTGACTATTAATATTGAATATTCTACTTAAATTCTAGCTAAACCTGAGCAATTGGATTCAGCCTTCTTAAATTCAGTCTGAGGCCTCATTTCAGTCCAGTATTTTTTCTTCATATTGAAACTAAAATTTCAGGATATATATCACTAAAACATAAAACATTTATGTTTGAATTAATAACAATGTTTTACTATGCTTTGAATAATTAAGTTCTTTCATTCAAAAAGTGAAATGTAAAATTGTGAATTGTAATGCTTTTTAAAATTGTGACAAAACAAAAATCTTCCAGCTCCACCTTCCAGCTGCTCTGATGTGAATCAAAAGATGCTGTGGGCCAAGGTGCTAGGTACAGATTATTCAGGTGTGGCATTTGCTGAACCTAGGTTAAGACAATGTGGTGTTAATTAAGGTGACATTCCTTACTGGGGAGCTTCCCTATTTCCAGTGTTTCTGGATCTGATGGCATCTTTATTTCAATGACTGATGCATCAGAGAGGCTGTGATCATCTGAATTGAAGTGCTTTTTAACCGATTGTGGATTTATGGTTCCAAAAACGTGCTTAGACCCATTGTTATTTTACACAAGTACTGAACATGACAACCTGGTTGCAGCTAGTGGTGTAAATTACATTATAGGACCTTCAAATGATATTTTATTTGATATAAGTTTCTGCTAGTCATTCTGGTCTTGAAGGTAACCTAAGAAGGGAGAGCAACTGAAGAAGGCAGAAACAGTTTGCTTTAAAACTTTAGTTTCTCCGTTTTGTTAGTAACTAACTTCTTGTTTGACCCTCGTATGTTAATTTAATGCCCATTTGCTCAGTTTGGAAAGATCTTTTTGGAGCTCTTCACATTCCTGTTTTGTTTTCAGCACCCTCAGTAATTTGGTATGTCTGTAAACTTTACTGGCTCACTGCTTGCTCCTAAGTTCAGATCATTTATGAACAAGGTATAAAGCACAGTTCTCAATACTGCTCCGTGGGGGGTGTTCCTCACTATTCACATCCCTCCATTGTGAGAAATGGCAATTTATTCCTGATCTCCGCTTCCTCTTATTTAACCAGCTGTTGATCCATCCTCTTGTCCTGTGTCTATTAAGTTTACAGAGGAGCCTTTGGTTGAAGGACTTAATCAAAATATTATTGGAAGATTAAATATATAATGTATTCTAGATAACCCTTATATACGTGCTTTGCAACACTCTCAAAGAACTCCAAAAGTCTAGTCAAGCCATTTTTTTAGAAGCCATGCTGGTTCTCCTCAACAAGACTTATTCTTCTATATGATTATCATTTTGTCTTTAAAAAAGCAACCCCATATAAAAGGCATCCCCAAACTCAACCCTCCAGCTGTTTTTGGGACTACAACTCCCATCATCCCTGGCCACTGGTCCTGTTAGCTAGGGATGATGGGAGTTGTAGTCCCAAAACAGCTGGAGGGTCCAGTTTGGGAATGCCTGCCATATAATATAGCAGAACTTCTGTTTCTGTGGTATGAGAATCACTGACAAGCTTGACACTGCCTCATTGTGCTTCAGCAGTTGAAACGGCAGGGAGAATTTAGGAAAGGGTAAAAAGAGTATAAAAGTTGTCATAAGCTTAGTACCAAAATCTGTGAAAACTCTTATGTGCATTTCTGACTATCACTTCTCAGAGAGGAAAAAGCAAATCTTGCAAAGTACAACAAGGGCAATACAAATAGTGGTGGGTGTAATAAGAAGTGGAGACTTAATAGGACTAGACTGAATTAATTAAGAAAAGAAATAATCACCGAGGCAATGTTATTTGACATATGGAGTCTTAGAATGGTTCACAGGAAATTGAATGTAAGTGATATTTACTGATATTTTCTTCTTCAAAAGAAATACTTTCTGAGCTTTAGGGCAGTGGTGTAGGGCCTGTGGATCTCCACATATTAGATTCCATCAGCTCCAGCCACCATAGCCAATGGTCAAGGATGATGGGAGGTGTTGTCCAGCAACATGTAAAGCACTACCGGTTCCAACTCCTGCTTTAGGACAGGGTTCACAGCTCAGCTGTAGAGCTTATGCTTTGAATGAAGAAAATTCTAGGTTCAATCCTGGTATCAACAGCTGAAAAAATGGATAATGTAGCAGGTAAAGGGAGGGAGAGACTTCTGCCTAAGACCCTACCACCATTATGACGTTCTGAAAGATTTACACTTTCATCATGATGTGTAATCCCAAAGCAGATGCATCACAGCTTTTGTTGGCTTTCCCCATCAAAGTATTTTTAAAGCTGCTCTGCAACCTTTTTGATAGGCTCCAGAAATTTGCTTCCATTCTGGTTCAAGAGGGGCCTGTCTCTTTTTGTACAAATGTGACTTACCCCAAAAGTTTTACAATGCACAAACAATTTAAAGCATTCCTCCCATTAGCCACCTTAACCATGCATTGAGATCCCACAACCCTGTCTGCAGGCCCAGCATATAAATCAGGTAGCATTCTACCATGCAGGCCCTGAACTTGAACATGTTACCTAGGAGTCTAAATTTGGCTTCCACGGCCTCATGTCAATATTTCCCAACACCCCTGGTGCTAGCATGTACCAAAACTAGTGATTGACCTTATCAGGACAATGCATGATGTTTGCAACCTTCACACCAGGCAGGCAAACACCATACCATCATCAAGCTTGTCACCAATCCATTTCTCTCTGTTCCTGATCACCAAATCTTCCACTACTGGTTGCTCTGTGGGAGATTATAGCCTAGGATGCAGAATTATCCTTATCCGCAGGTAGGGAAAAAACAACCAGAGAGCCTTTGATCTGAAGCCTATTGATTAGTTTGGGATGTAGAAAGAACCTTGTTGTACAGTTGGAAATGAAGTGGAACTTTGGGGGGGGGGGAACTTTGTAGAAGGGAATATTGAAAAGATCATCTATTTCAGGAAAAGCATACCTGATTATTTACAAATTTTGATTCTGAGGAAGATAAATGGATATTCCTTTAAATGACAGCCTTCCTTTTGCATATGAACATGGGCTATGTACAATAGCAGAACCCAGTTAACCCATATTATTACTAATGGTACAGTTAGTTATTATTCCTAACTCTGCTTTACACACGTCTCTTCGGCGGTGTTCAGTGCTGGGTGTCTCATTTGTTCACAGAGCCTGCTTGTTGTACAACATGATGGTTGCTTTCTCCACAGGAGCACATCACGTAAGGGACTTCCTGTGCTTTTCCCCCTCCTTCAGTGCACCCACGCTGTATTCAACATAATTGGAGAAGAAATGGGTGAGGGTAAAAGGTGGCTGTTTTTCTTGCTGTTGTGCAGAAAGAATGGTCTGCCCACTTATCAGAATGTTTCCCTTTTGTAGACTGTCTCAGAGAATGGTGTTGCTTCAGCAGATGGAGAGTCATCTAGGAGACAAAGAAGCTGAGAAGACATGGCAAATACAAGAAGCTGATGCAGCTCGTAAAAGAAATGTAGCACTTTTAAATGTAAGTTTTCATCACTTTTAACCAGTAGCTGAATAGTGAAATTTCCATATGGCATTTAAAAGACACTGTTTTCCACTGTGTTAATTCCATTACATTTTATTACATTTATATCCCACCTTTCCCTTCAAGGAGCTCAAGGTGGCACGCATGGTTCTCCACCCCAGTGACAATGCCTGCTTCAGGGTCACCCAGCATGCTTCCTAGCTGAGCATTTGAACCCTGGTCTCCCAGGTCCTAGTCATTACTCTAGCTGCTACACCACACTGGCTTTCAGATACTGATAAATTTGTTCAGGACCATATGCAGAAGGAAGCAGAGGTGCTTAACACTGAAGTGTGATCAGCTATTCTTTACAACTGTTCATTTCAGACTGCTGGGGCTTACCTTTTAAAGTCCTGGACAGTTTGGGACTCAAATACCTGCAGCAACCTGCCCAAGTCTTAAGATGTTCAGAGGAGGCTCTTCTCCATGTCCAGGGGAAGTTAATTATGTAGCAACAAAGGAGGGGAAAAAGACTCTTTCTCTTTGGTGGCACTTCATCTTTGGAATTTCCTCCCTGTCCCTGCTAGCAATGTTACAATCATTTCGGTGTTGTGTCAAAACTTATTTATTCGTCCAGGCATTTTTAAGCTGATTTACTGTACGTCTTCTCTGCTTGTTTTACCTCTGTCTGCATGCTTCTAATTGTGGTGTTTTATTTACTTTTGGCGTTATTTCTTGTTCTGTCTCTCCAATCCATCTGAAGCAGGAGTGGCTGTGCAGGTGCTATGCCAGTGACTAGAAGTAGTGATTAGTTAGATGAGGATCAGTGGACAGGAATCAGTGAACCTGAATTCTGATAAGTCCATGCAGTGAGATTGAGAGAGGAGATCCTACTCATGATCCCACCAGGGCAGGGAGTGCCATTTATTTGTTTGTTTATTTCACAAAATTCATATACCACTAGATTGTAAGGGGGAAATATACATAACCTTTTGGTGACCAGACTGTGATCATGGTTCTAAAAAAACCCAAACACCTCTACCTAAAGCTAAAACGCAGGTGGTGAATGACTAGGTTTGTTAATAACTAAAATGTGTGTTTAGGTTAATATTGCTCTTTCCAGGATGCTGGCTTTGAATCTTCATTAAACTTAATTGAAATAATTGATAGAATCAGTAATGTTGCAAGCTCTTTTTAAAATTAACTCTCATCCCAATTACTGCAACCTTCTCTCTAGTCTTCCATTGCCCTACCTCAGTCCCCTAACCAATATCCAGTATTCTGCAGCCAAAACTATTCACCTCTGTTGTCACTCTGATTATATGGGCCTGTTCTTTCTCCCTTGCTTCTCCTTTGTCTCCTGGAATATGTGGTACCATGTTGAGTAATGGATTGTAAGCTTCCAAATTGGGTCTTGTAATTGTTTATGGTTTTGTTTCTTGGGTCTCTTACTGTTGTTTTTCTTTCTCCTTCCAAGATAGCTAGGACTGATCCAGAATGTGGAAAAATAATTTCTGGTTTCTTGACTCTCACCCAAAGATAAAGGATAATTTAAAGCGATCTATTTGTGCTGTGCTGAGAGAATCTGGTCTCGGGTTCATTTGGTTCTCAGCATGGTCCTTAGCCCTCAAATGCTTACCAGCATGTTGGTTAATATCAGGTATTTTTTATTCTTCCTATCAGTATGACAACTAAGGTGTTTATGGAGGGGATGGTTCTATATTGGGAGGATGGGAACCCTGTGAGATGCAGTGGTAGAAACCATGTGCACAGGAACACATCCCTCCCCACCAAAAAGCAGGTTCCCTGTGGACAGTGTGGTCCTTCATGTTTTTCTCCTTTTGAGAACAAAGATGGAGTCTAGAGTGAAACAGTCTCAGGAGTTGGATGTCACCATTTTATTTGTTGCAAAAGTCTTCTGCTTCTTCTAGCAGTAATTTTAGCTTGCGATGTCTGAAGCATTTAACAGTGAGGTGCAGAAATACTGTGTCTGCTCCAGGCTACGAAGACTTATCTACTCACTCTCATACAGAACATTCTGCAAAGCTAAATCAGTCCTCTGGGCACTTCTGCAGTCCTTCCGAGGAAGGTGATATGAGCTCATGATATTTCTTTCGCACTTGCTTGCCCATTCCAGCAAAGGCCATCTCCACAAATTTTATGACAAAACATTGCTCTAGGAGTGAGCCAAGACATGAGAAATCTTACCGTCTCTTTCTTGGTCTGGCTCAAATTCAGCAGGTTCGACTGTCTCTAAGGAAACCATTTCCAACTGGCTGATTGCTGACTCTTCCCTTTAGGCAAGCATAAACACAAGATTGCTTTTGGATATAAAGGATTTTTCTTCTGTTGTGAAATAGCTTATAGTTTTTTTCCAAAGAAATAGCTAGTCCACTGACTGTAGCCCACCATGTCTTTGTTAACCACTATGGTTATATTGGGCCTAGCAACTTTCCTAACTCCTCGTTGTGATGCCCCTGATTTTGTGGGGCATTTCTTTCCCATCCCCCACTTAAAAGAAATATGTACTTGCTTTATCTCTCACGGACATACATATATATTTGCAACTATGCCTTAACATTCACCTGGTTGCTCTTCTAGTGCATGTTGTGGTGTCATGTTTTGTGACAGTGTGTCTTTGTTTTACTTTTCTAGAGACATCCCTGGGGCAGTACAGTCTCAAAAGAGTGGGGATGTGTCACCTCTTTCTTTGGGAAATGGGAAATTACTTCCCTTTAATTGCTTTGTTCTAAACATGTTATGACAGATCACCCACTCATCCACTCTGCTCTTTTTGGAGCTGAGGGTTCTGTAACCTTCTTGTGCATATTTTCAGTTCAGTGCCTATGAAATTATTTCTGTCAGGAGCAGAAAGGGAAATTTGCACATGATGGGACTCCTAGTTCTTCACAAGAACTGGCATTTGGCTACATTTTGATAGAATGAGCAGTTTAGAGCTTGGAGAAGTCCCAATAAGATATTTTAAAAGAAAAAACAGGGGAAGATGAAGGTTTGTTTGGGGTGGGGAAGGGTTGCCATGGCCGACCATCTGTGGCAGACCATATATCACATAAAGCTAAGTATATCCAATGCACAAAGACATCATAAAACAGTGACCACTCACCTCATGCGTACCAATATATAGATGTCTGCCCTGTTTCCACATCTGATATATATAGAAGGCCACCCTATGGGTAGATCAGGATATGTATGCTGCTTCAACAATGTGAAGCAGGGACCAATGATGAAATTGCTGCTCTGTGATGAATACCAGGTTGATCCTATAGCTCATGGGTAGGCAACCTATTTTTTTTAATTTAATAATATTTATTACTTTTCCAACAATTTAAACACTACACACACAAAAAAGAACAATATAATACAATACAGAAACACTACATAACACTAACACATTAAACTAACAAAACAAAACAAAAACAGTTTAAAACACATCAAACAATTTCAGTATTTATCTTTCATTCACTTATTTCAACGACCTCCTCACACCTCCCTTTTTGTATTCCACTTCTGTTAATTATTTCAGCAATTCCTTTCCGTCTTCCTCTGTTTTCTATCCTATAATTATCTTAACACACTCTAACCTTATTTTTTCCTTTAATATTCTATTAATCTATTTATACTTAATTCCTTATAACATTTCTACTAAAGCCATATAACTTCATTCCAACATTCTTCTAGCATTCATTAATTTTACAGTATTTCTGTAAATAGTCTTTAAACTTTTTCCAGTCTTCTTCCACCGACTCTTCTCCCTGGTCTTGGATTCTGCCAGTCATTTCCGCCAGTTCCATATAGTCCATCAACTTCATCTGCCATTCTTCCCGGGTGGGTAAATCTTGTGTCTTCCAATACTTCGCGATGAGTATTCTTGCTGCTGTTGTTGCATACATAAAAAAAGTTCTATCCTTCTTTAGCACCAATTGGCCGACCATGCCCAGGAGAAAGGCCTCTGGTTTCTTCAGGAAGGTATATTTGAATACCTTTTTCATTTCGTTATAAATCATCTCCCAGAATGTCTTAATCCTTGGGCAACCTAAGGCCCGGGGGCCAAATCGCCTTCTCATTCTGGCCCACAGACGGTCCAGGAATCAGCATGTTTTTACATGAGTAGAATGTGTCCTTTTATTTAATATGCATCTCTGGGTTATTTGTGGGGCATAGGAATTCATTCATCCCCCCCCCCCAAAAAAAATATAGTCCAGCCCACCACATGGTCTGAGGGATGGTGGACCGGCCCATGGCTGAAAAAGGTTGCTGACCCCTGCTATTGTTTATATATTTTGCATTTCACATTGGTGAAGAAAGAACACACTTAGTCCAACTTGCTGAAACCATGTACATATTTCAAAAAAAGTTTTACATATAACAATTCCTATGTAACTGACATTTTTGGGTACGGTGATAGCCAGTGTTAGTCATACTGAGAGAAGACCCATTGAAATAAATGGACGCGTTCATTAATTTTGGTGGGTTTACTTTGAATACGATTTAGTTGAATATCACCCTATATATGTATTTTTAGCCCCCAGGTATACAGATGAAAACAATTGCTTACAGTGAGATGATAATAGTAGTCTGTTGATACCTGTAGGTAAAATATTTTAAGCTCTTTTAAGTTAGTAAGTTAATATTCGCTGTTTACCATCACAGTGCGCTGAATAATTTCTCTCAAGTGTCAAAAATGTTAGAACATTTGAGGAAGGAATAAAAGCATATGTATGACCATCAAAACAAATTGTCTGGCAGGAAAATGCAACTTTAGTGAGTTTAGATGTATTAATTTTATTCTGGCTTTAACAGGCATGCAGCACTGCAGATGCTTTCTGATAACAAAATAAAACAGGAATGAGATCCATGCAGAATATTATATTAGAACCTTGAAAATAAGGTTCAGATTTATGTGCCAACTTTTAAAAATTATTCCCGATAGCAGGCATTGTACATTTCACAGTTACCATGTGGAGAGTTGTTAATTTGGCTTTCTCAGAAATACACCG